AGGAGGCAACTATTTCTGCATCTCTTCAGAAGATGGGAAGGAAGGAGGTAATGTTCTGTGTGTGTTTAGTAAACAGCTGCCCTGTGATAGATGCACAGACAACACTAACCTGGTGTAGCATGCTCTAGTAGAGTCTCTGTCTGATTCTTTCAGGGATAATTCTCCATTGGACTGTACAAAGTAACCCAGTAATTTGTCTGCACATTTTAAAAACAAGGATAATGCCAGTTACACTGATGTAAATGTGCCATCTGTCAAAGCCATATCTCACAAAACCTAGACATGAATATCCCTTGAGTTCCAGGGTTGTTTGGATCCAGGTTTGAGGATAACTAATTTTTGGGGATAACTCTGACACTTGGATGAAGATAATAATTCCTTAAATTTAGGGGGTTGGAGCCCTTGTTTCCCTTTAAAAAATGTATTAGTATCTGATAATAGCTAATATCACCAGGAAAGCAGAACCACCTAAGAGACTGAGCACTGGACTGAGACTTGCAAGATCATGGTTCTAGCCTTAGCTCAGTGACAGGTCTACTGGGTGATATTGGTATCTTCATCTCTCTGTGTCCTTGTTTCCCTACCAGTCAAATGGGGAAATCCCTTTGGAATCAAAGGTAAAAGGTTGTAGAGAAGGCCTGTTTATTACTGTTGCTGTAAGATACAGGATTAAATACAGACGTGTGTGAATTCCAGGTGACACAATCATCCATGACACAAGGCGGCACAGTTCTTCTAATTTTAGTTGTTCTCCCCAGGTCCTGGCACTGGTGGATTTTGCAAAATGTTTGGTTCTGGAGCCTCAGCAACCTCTTCTCCTAGCAAAAAGAAATAACAACTCTGCTTTTTTGCTGCACCTTTTTTTCAGATCATATTATCTCAGTAATTTGCCCAGGGTCAGTGTTGCTGTCAGCTGGAGGAGGTTTGTCTTTCCAAGACAATGCATCTCACTCAGAGATTGCCCTATTCTGCGCACCAGAATTGCTCCATAAAACCAAGCATGTTGGAATAACACAGGTGAGAGGGTTTTTTTGGTTTCTTTTTTCTTTGACTGCTTGATGGGGTCTTGAAGCTTGAAAAGTAGCTTGCCACAGACTAGCTGATGCCATTCAACATTCTTAACATCTAATGTCACACTCCCTTTCTGAAGAGCACTAAACAATAATAAAAAAAAGTTTTATGCAGAGCCTCCTAGAATTAGAGCACATTTCGTATTCAGCTGCAATGTCAAATATTGTCATCCAGGTCTACAGAAGTTTGGTGGAAATGGACTATTATTTTTACAATCCTCCCCAATCCCCACAGGAAGTGCCCCCCAGCACCTTCACTCTTTAAGAAGAAAGGGTGGTGTGGAAAGGCACAAAGCCTCTGAATGGATGGTCCTTTCCCTAATACCTGGCCAGTGCCACAGGGCCTCAGTTGGGAGGTCAGGTCCAAGCCCTATAGGATGGCTTTGTATACCAGGGAAACTCCTTAAATGGAATATTTTTGTCCTCAGCACATGCTTTTTCTTGCATAGGGGATAGACTGGTTTGTTATCTCTAGACCTGAAAAATGCATATTGTTTCCTTCCTAATTCTTCTCTCTGCCCCATCAGGATGTGTCCCCCATTTAATAGCTATGCATATTTTTTCCAGTCTAGTTTTAAGAGTTCCAGTGAATGTGGTATCTATTGTCTGAGGTCACATGTTTTTTTTTTGTTGCAATTACTGACATCTAACTTTTAACATCTGACTTTTAACATCTGACATCTAACATCACAATTGTTTGCATTCTCTTTTTTGATAGGTGCTGCTATATTCATTAGGAATGACCCTCTACTGGGCAGCTGATTATCAGATTCCCCCAAGCCAGGTTAGTATTAACAATGTCTTTGTTTTCTTTTACTTTGCAACACACATCAGTAGGTTAGAAATCTGAGGTATGATCTGAACCTTCCAAAGACAGGGTGGAAGGTTTGTATCTGATATTTTTGTTTGGCCCATTATGGCACATCCAGATGTGCATGGATGTTTAGTTCCCCAGGGACAGGTAGCAGCAGTGCACCTTGTGCCGCAGCTACTTATCCCCAGGGAATGCCCATGCCATAAGCATTTTGGCATGCAGCAAGTTACCCCAGGGGCATCAGAAGAGGCTGGGGCTGACACTGTGTTGGCCCCAGCAGCCTTACCTGCAGGCCTCCCAGTGCTGCAGCTGCAGATATTGAGGGGGTAAAAAAATCAAAACAAACCCCACAAAAACAGAGTAGTGTAGACTCAGTCAGTGAGCCCTTGCAGCGTGGAGAACACCAGACTGTGTGTTATGTGGCGCTGCAAATCATTTTGCAGCGCCACATACTGTACAACCGCACTTGTCTGGACACACCCTTAGGGACCCATAGCTGCCTGGGAGTTCAGATCCACATCTGAACTCTTGCCAAAGGACAGGATTATCTAGATCCAAGGTTTATCTCCTCCCGTCCTATGGAATACAGAACTGAACATAGTCTTACAAGTCATCTTTTTTAAGAGTGCTTATCACAAGGCAGCAGAGGAGCAGTTCTTTTATATCAAAAATAAGATAATTAGTGTTTCATAATGAGAAAATTTACATTTGGATTATTTTTGGTGACCTATATGTATATTGGATGTAAAAAACCAAAGTGCAAGTGAAGATAACTTTTTTCAAATTATAGAGTAGATGGAAAGTATCTAAACATGCCACTCATCCCAGCAGTTCTTTTTAAGCCAGCTCAGGGTCTCCTCAGAGATTTGTAGACACTAATATTTTATTAACTTACTCTACAAGGTATTTTTCATTGCAAGTTGAAAGAACAACTTTTAGTATATCCAAGTTTCTTCCTCTGTCTTTTTTTAGCTCTATGTGGTCTCAGTGTAAACTTCATACAGATTTTAAATTCTGTACCTGCATAGAAACATAGATTTTTAAGAGCTCACCTCTTCACCCTTGAGTGATGATCTGATCTCCAACTACTGGAGCAGCTACAGCTCCCTATGAGCAGCCAGAAAGATCCCCATATATGCACTGATGTCAATGGGTGGATATTAAAGGATTTTCTAAAGGGGGTGCAGCACACCACCCCTCAGACCTGGGGGAACACAGGAGCAAGGCAAGTCATGGGTGGAGCCTTTGGGTCAGTGGGGCAGAGGGTTTAAATGGTTACTGAAAGTCAAAGGTCCTTTGCAAAATCCCAGGCCTTGCTTATAAAGCATTTCATAGTGAAATATGCTTCCATATCAATGTGAGGTATTATTAAATTGTATCTCCCTTTTGGTGCAGTCCCTTCAGATGAGCAATCAGTTGCATAACCTTCTGCTGACATTGTGTGAAGATCAGCCACATAGAAGACTTTCCCCAGAATCCATTTTGGAGGCCTGCATAGAACATCAAAAGGAATCATCCTCTTCTCCAGCAGCCATTTACATAAAGGGACTGGTCAGACTTGTACTGGGAAGCATCACTGAGGTCAGTACCATCCTTATTTACTAGTAGTCACAATGTTTGGGCAGTCTGGGTTTCCTCTTGTATTTTCAGATCACAAGAATGAATATTTTAGAGTAGGACAATCAATAAAACAAGTGGTTATGTGAAAAAAAAAAAGAAATTTGTCCTGTGGATGCTGATGGATATATTTTCCCTAAGGTGTTGGTTGCATTTTTTTAATAGGCTTCTATATATTTTTTTATATATTATGGAAGAAGGGGGTAAAATTTCCATAAGTGACTTGAGAGATTTGGAGGTCCTAGTCTTTTGTTTCCTTTTTAATAAAAAAATAGAATTTAGGTTAAAAAAAAAATCACACAATGAAGCTGTTTTGAAGACTTTACCAAGGCCTCATTACATTTACGGGATATAAAATATTGTATGCATTGTAAATATTGGTATCCCACTGCTAAGCATTTTCCAGGTCTCAGAACTGCAGTATTAGCAGTCCTCTAGGCTTCTGTCATCTCAAATCTCTAGCCTGGAGCATGGTAAAGTGAATTCTAGACAGCTTTTCAAAATTAAATAAGACAACATTAACACAATTGTGCTCTAAATTAGGGGTATATTCTGCTGACCATTTTTAACCTAGTAGCCATATTGTAAGAATTAAGGATGGAAGATTATCCATAATTTCCAAGAGCCAGACTGCATGGGTCTGTGCAAATACACATGTTGAAGCCATCCTTCCTGCCATGTGCCTTCACACTGGGGAGTGACCCAAATCCATTTTTTTTGCATTCACAGGACCTTTGCCCAGATCTCACTTCCCAGATTAATGTCACAATGAGAATAGCCTCCCTTCAATGATCCTAATGCTTCAAAATAGCCAGTGGAAATAGCTCTCTCCAGTGGCAGAAAGCATGCAACACACTATGTAAAGCTTTCCCATTTTGCTTTTCCAAAGGAGTCATTCCTAAATCAGAAACAATCTCTGTAAACTTTCTGCACCTCCCTTACTATAGGGCTGACCCCCAGCAGGCCCCATAGGGAATGAGGTGTTATAAATTGAGCTCAATTAACTATTTCCAAGATATGAAATAGTTCATATCAGGGCTCAGGGGTGATCTGATAGCCACCTATAAGTTTGTAAGGGGTGTCCACCAGGATCTGGGGGAACTTTTGTTCAGCAGAGCACCCAAAAGGACAACAAGGTCTAACAGTTATAAACTCGTGCAAGACCGTTACTGTCCGAGCCCCCAAGGTCTGGAATAGCCTGCCATCGGAGGTGGTTTAAGCACCTACTTTGAATGCCTTCAAGAGAAAATTGGATGTTTATCTTGCTGGGATCCTATGACCCCAGCTGACTTCCTGACCCCAGGACAGGGGGCTGGACTCAATGACCTTCTGAGGTCCCTTCCAGCCCTAATGTCTATGAAATCTATGAAATCTATGAAAAGTTCAAAAAACATTTCTGTTTAAAATTTTAACCAAAAATAAAAGAAAAGGTCCATTCATTTTTAAAATTCGTTTCCCCTGCTCCTTTAGCAGCATTAGTTAATAATACGAGATGCCCTTTTCCCTACTGTTGTCCAAGACTCTATTTCCAGTTGAAATGGAAGGTATACTTTATTTAATGCACTTTAGAATAAAGTCTTGAAGTGATCAAACCATTTCAAAGCTTTGTTCTGATCTTTTTTAACTGGGAGAACTGAAGCAGTCACGGGTGAGCAAATAATCAGTCTATATCAAACTGAAGCCAAGGACAACTTAATCTTCAGGGTTTGAAGTCCATTCATCTGCCAAAACTAACTTGAAATGCAATGGATTTCTAGGTGGAACAGGCAGTTACTGAAGACAGCAGAGCTATTCAGCTTAAAAGGAGTCATGTGATAAGAAAAAGACTACACAAGAAAACATCTGAAAGCATCTCAGCTCTGCCCCCTCAGCTGAATTTTCATCAAGGTAAAAAGGCTTCTTCTTTAGACAGTTTGTCTGAGGGTCTTTTGGGAGAGGTGAACTGGTTTATTTTACATTGTACCAAATATAGTAGAACAGATTTCCCTGAATCTACACTGAAACCATTTAAAGAGCATTCTCATCTTTCTACTGTTGATTACCCTAAGATCAGTGCTTTTTGACATTTAGTTCGACCTTTCCTCTGTAAAGTTACACATAATTGAGTCCTGGACAAACTTCAAGACACAAGGAAAATTTTTACTCATCATATCTCTGCAAGTAACACCACTTAGGGTATATATAGACATTACACTTAGGTCAATCTAATTAAGGTTAGATTGACCTAAAGTGCCAAATTGTACACAAGTTTTGGAGGAGGTTAGGTTGGGGGGTGAGGGGGCAGGGAAAGCCACCTGATTTAATTTAGTTCACTCAAATGTGGATCTCACACTTATGTTGATGAAACTAGGGGTTAGGTCAATTCAAGTGCCAAACAGTACAGGCAGTCCTCGACTTACAATGTTTAGAGTTACGTTTCGCACTTACAAGGTTTATAAATTGACACCCTCTTTCAACTTTATGACGTCAATTTCGACCTTACAACATGTGATCCGATGTGACGCCATGCCAGCAAACAAGTTTGCTGCATCGTTCATCTCCCCGGAGAGCATCTGTCCAAACTTCCTTGGACACTTTCTCTAAGAAAGCAGACAAGACTCCAGAAAAACCTGCAGCCAAGACTCCTGAGAAGACTCCAGCCAAGAGCCCTTCAAAAAGTCCAACCAAGAGCCCTTCAAAAAGTCCAGCAAAGTCACCTCAAAGGAGTTCTTCCAAATCAACATGATTGCTATTTACAATATAAGTACATTAATGTAGCTATATTGCTCATCTATAATTGATTGAGTACAAAATTCTGGGGTATTTTTGGTGAAAATAGGGTATTGGGCCTTGGTTCAGGAACCAATCCCCCATTTATAACATTGTTTCTTATGAGAAAATTGGTTCTGAGTTACAAAGTTTTGACTTAAGACATGGTTTTCAGGAACCAATTGTGCTGTAAGTCCGAGGACTGCCTGTACAGACATTTGGGGAGATTAGATTGGGCAAAATAGTGGCTGGCCTGATCTAACTTTAGTTTACCTAGGAGGTGAACTATGTAGATTGGTTTAACCTGTGCCTGATCTAACCTGAATGCGTGTTCTGTGCAGCCCAGGTGGAACCTCGCCCCCCTCCCTTACTTAGCCCTACTAACTTAGATTGGGTTCCCAGCCTAACTCCTGGTACTGGTGAGCATGCATATATGCAGAACCTGATCTACAATCATGCAGCTTGAAGTGAGCCATGTGACTGTCGATTGAGTCCTGGGAATGCATGTACATATTTGCAGTGCAGCCCTGGGGCTGGGAAAGCCTAGCCACTCACCCCAGGCCTGGGGCTATGCTTTTTCCTTCCCCTCACCCCTCCAAACCTAACTATCTGATCCCCACACCTGGACAGATACCTCCCTCCCCACCAACTCCCCCATGGACCTGCTAGCCCCTCCAATCCCATCAACCCTCCCCCACCTATGGACCCACTGGCTGCTCCAATCATGCCAAGCCCCTTCCTGGATCCCACTTTCTCCCCCGTCTTCTCCCAACCCCAATCCCATCAAACTTTCCCCACAGATCCGCCAGCGTCTCTGATCTCACCAACTCTCCTGCCCTCCCTGGAGCTCACCAACCTCCCCAATCCCTCCAGCACCCCCCTCAGACCTGCCAGTCCTCCACAGATCTCATTAACTCCCCCCCCCCCACTGCCCCTACCCCCCCCCCCCCCCCCTGCGGCCCTGCTAGCCTGTCTATTCCAGTCCGCCCCTTCCCTCACCCCAAATTTACCCAGATTGGGCTCCTGGCACTGGCAAGTCTATATAGCTGGTATACTATTTACAATCATAGTGCTTAAAGACAGCTGCATGCTTGTAGATCACATCCCAGGAGCCTCCGTAGATGGCCTTAAGCAGACCAGACCACCCACCTGAGAAAGGCAAGCAGGAGTTGTCTCATAGTCTTGTCTAGGTGTTCAGAATGTTTGCAGCAACATGTACCAGCTCCATGGAATCAAAATAAGATATGGCTGCAGGTGGCCTCAGAAATTTTTTTAGTTCAAATCTCCTCAAGCCAGGATCTCTATTAAAACCAGCAGTGCCCAACCTTCTTGCCTGGTAGGCTAGATTGGCAGTGCCCAGGCCATCTGCAGGCCATATGCAACTGGTGTTCCAGATCCAGCACCTGGGCTATCATGGTGGACACCATCTGGCTGTGCAGAAGGGGGTGGAAGGCAGGGCCTTAATGCAGTCCCATGGGGAAAGGAGCTTGACATGGCCCCACAAAGAGGGAAGGGGGCATGGCCCAGCCCTGTAGGAAGTGGAGGGTGGAAGAAAGGAAGAGTGGCTAGGCCTCAGCATAGCCCCATGGGGGAATGGGGTGTGGCCCAGCCCCAATGGGAGGCCAGGGGCCTGGCCTAATCCCAACCCAGCCCCATGGGGAGGGAAGGGAGCATGGCCTGGCCCTGATCCAGATATTTGTGCTAACATAAAAATTTTTATGGAAGCAAAAGCTACGAGCAAACAGATGGAGTAATCCTTTGTCATGCTCCAACTGTCCAGAAATGTTGTCACGACCAAAGGTAACCACAGTTAGTGATGCCTTAAATGGGAGGGCATCAAGACATTGGTTTGCTTAGTGTGAAGCAGGAATTCCCTAGAGGGGAGTTCTTGGGGCACACTTTCAGGCACACTCCCTGGGAATCCCTTTGTAGGGGATTCCTGTGGCACCCAACAAGCTACTCAGGGTCCAGTCCATGGGGAGGAACCAAGATATGTACTCTGTAGCAATCACCTGCAGGGGATTTCCACAGCACTTGTCTGCAAATGAGGGACCCCACAGGGCCTCCATCAACTTGGGATCCAGAGTACTGAGTCCTTTTCTGAGTGTAGGGCATGGGGTGGCGGTGTCCCTATCACTCACCTTTTACCCAATGATTAGATCACTTTTACATGAAACGGGAGACATAGATCTTTAGACTTCCACAGCCTGAGGGAATTCAAGCCTACATCTCCCACTTCCAAGGAAAGCATCCTAATCAGCAAACTATAACACAGATTGATGGAACCCTTTGCTCTTCTATTACAGCTAGACCGCTGCGCAGAAGAGCCTGGGAGATTCATAGGGCCAGGAAAAGAGCAAACGAGACAGAACAAGACTCCATAGATTAGTCATTATGGTAGTTCCCTAGGAAGGGAAGTCCTGAGTTTTGGTCCCTGATTATATGACTGCTATATTTTATTGCATACAATATGCCCTAGAATACAATATAGGCAGAATGAAGAAAAATGATTTTATAGGGTTATGGTTATGTAGAACAGGGACAGAATCTAATAGTCAGTTCACTCCCCTCCCTTTCCTGCTTAACTAAAGCTGAAAGCCTAGGTGAAGAAGACTGGCCTCCACAGTGGGAGTTTCCAAGGCAGTAAAATAGGAGGAGAGAGACCAGAAGAATCTAGCAGACAGCAAAAGTGTCCTAAGAAATTAGGGGTCTATCAAGACCATTCAAAGAGGCAATACAATTGTTCACACCTGTGGAGTGAACAACAAAGAGCCATTTAAGTCAGCTGTCTGACGAGTAATGCTACAGATGTTTCACAATGGAGCAAGAATCAAAGCAGGGTTCTTTTATTCTGGGCAGAAAGTTGCTTAATACAACTCACCTTCCCTCTTCTTCCCCACTCCAAAAAAAAAAAAAAAATCACCCCCAAAATCAGGGTACATGTTGTGCGGGCCGGGAGGGATCCGGGCCCTTTTTCGCGCCGCACGGGCTGTGGCCAGCAGCCCGGGCACACTGGGTCGGAGAAAACAGGCGACACGCTAGAATTAGTCACGGACGCGTAATGGTTGATTTAAGATTATTTACTTACACCAAAGATGGTCGTGGTGCAGGCAGGAAAACTTGCTTGAGTTGCAGTTACAGATAGAAAAGAAGAGAGGCGGACTAGAGTTCCTTCCCGTGAACATTCTTCTAGCCCATCCGGTTGGAGGCTCTAAACCGCGAGCCTGTCGCGCCAACCGAAGAAAGTACTCGAACTCACACGAAGTTTGCTAGGCTCCGTGGAACTTGTGCG